GTTAAATACCTTATATAAGCAAGCTATTCACTTTCCTGTCCTATTCTGTACTGCTGGTTTGCAGTGGTAAAATTGCTGGAGATCTTTCCGAGAACCTCTCAGAAGCATCTCCAGCAATTTTACCACTGCGAACATGAGCTGAAGCTTTTTCTTTATGAAAAAAGAGCCGAGCTGAACAGCGGTATTGGGCTCCCAGCCTGGGGAAGCTAATGGTGGTTCGGTGTTTTTGCAGTTACGTGACTTTTTGGGGTGATGTTGACAGTACAGGTAATCATCCATGGCTCATCTTCCTTGGAGGCAGGGGGTGTGTGAACTTTTAACTGTATCTAATGGATAAATTTGTTTTTAAGAGCTTCCAAAGAAGCACTCTTGATTTGAATTGTTAAAGAATACCAAGATGGAATAGGTTTGGTTTTTTCGGTGTTTTTGCAGTTACGTGACTTTTTGGGGTGATGTTGACAGTACAGGTAATCATCCATGGCTCATCTTCCTTGGAGGCAGGGGGTGTGTGAACTTTTAACTGTATCTAATGGATAAATTTGTTTTTAAGAGCTTCCAAAGAAGCACTCTTGATTTGAATTGTTAAAGAATACCAAGATGGAATAGGTTTGGTTTTTATTTTTTTTTTCTGATTTCATGAAGGTATTGATGTGAAAGGATCTGGACTGATAGTCTACTTAAAAACTATGAGCTGTGTAGCCTGCTCTGGTCTGAAATAATTTCACTCCAGGATTGCAAGTCTTAGATGGTGATTGATTGATTCCCTCTGAGTATTCCTGTTCCCACATGCATTTTCCACATCCCCAGCAAGACTTTTTGCTATGTATTTAATCATAAAACTTAGAAAATGCAAATTAGCTTTCCAAAGAAGTTACGTGGGATTCCTTTCCATGCCAGAAAGGTATTTCTAATGAGAGCTGGCTGAAAAGAAGCACGTGGGTAGATCTTAAGTATTTTCAAAACACAGTTGTAGTTGAGCGTTGCAAAACCAGTTTATGTTTGACTTGCTCTTAGCTGCTCTAAGTGTCATGGACCAGGCAGCCACCTGATGAAATTGGTGTTTCTGGTAGATGCAGTTGGTGGTTGCTGAGGAGGAGACAACTTGTAGGAGGCTGTCCTGGCCAGACCCAGAGGAACTGGACAAGGTTCTGCTAGAACCTGTCTTGAATTGGGCAAAAAGCTGTTTATACCAAAATGCTTCAATAAAAACTGGCTGCACTAACACCTTGGGTTTTGTCTTACAACATTTGGGTTTGGCTAGAGAAGATCTGATCCTCTGTATCAGCTCTTACACGTAATTGTCTTCCTTTGACAGAAGTACATGTATTTTATTCCCCCCTCTCCCAAGGATAACAAGCATTATTCTTACTTGTCCTTGGAGTGTGTTTTGCTGCCAACAGCCAGTCTGGCTTCAGAATAGCAGACATCTTCCCCTCGGATTTTTTTTTTTGAGCACTAACTTTTCTTTGCAATGTCAATTTTGTGTAACCATGTGTCCTCCGTGTCTCTCTGCTCTCGCTCCGTTCACTTCCAAGGCGATACGATAGCATAGATTCCACTGTGAGTGGCCGAACTGACCTAGAGTCCACGTCTGAGTCTAGTCAAATGACAAGCTGCCAGTGCTCGCTAGAGAGCAGGCGCTCTCTAGATCTGTCCGATAGGTGGGTTAACCTCTTTGCAGCCTGCCTGCTTGCCTCCTTGCTGCTGCTGCTGTGAAGTGGCCTTGTGACACATTTCGGCTGACGACTCGCTGTTTGCCTTGGCTCTGTTTCAGATCTGTGGTAGTTTAACGCTGGGCTGATGTTGTAATCTTTTCCTCCTCTCAGGTGTTGGACTTCTTGTCATGGCTTTATTTCCAGTAGAAGGAATGCTTTGTAGAACAGCAAGGGAAACACTTATAGTGGGGAGGAGCTCAATTACAAAGAAAAGTAATTTCCTTTGTGCCTAAATTAGTCAATTGTTGGTTCAGCATTTACAGCTAATGGCTCTCCAGGCGTTCATGTAGCTCCCATTGCTTTCAGCCGAGATTTGGAAGGGCTTGATCCAGGTACTATCTATGGTGGCCCTGGGAGTCTTTTAAACTTTATTAGTGCTTTTAAGAAAATTATTTCAATTACTGGCTTAAAATTACAAGCAAGAAGTGTAGTAGGTGTTCTAAACTGTGTTCAACAGAACTCATTTAAAGTAATGAGTATCTTTCCAATTAGTGTAAGTTAGCTAATACTGGGGGAATTGAAGCACTAAACCAGCAGTAGTGAAAATGCAATGATGTGTTTCTCTTTCAGGGCTACCCCATCAGTATCCTCCATTGTGGTGCCCCAGGCAACTCTGAAGGTGAAGACTCTTGTGTTAGCAGTATCCATACAATGCCCGTGAGCCCTTCCATAGACTCACAGAATGGTCTGGGTTAGAAAGGACCTTAAAGATCATCTGAGTCCCACCCTCCTGCCATGGGCAGGGACACTTTGCCCTTCCCCCTGTGTTTTTTGGGGTCAGGACATGCGTGCCCTCATGCTCCTTAGTTCTCAACAATGAATGATGTGAGACAAAGCTGCAGTGCATCTTCAGATAAGCGTTTTGATTGTTTTTTACATCCACTTTCTACTTGTTTATATTTATGTAGGCTGGCAGGAGCTTTTCTTGTGAGATTTAGATAAAGAGGGAGCATTCTTGCTACTAGTCTTTGCATTGTTGAACAATTGAGATAATCCTCCTGATTATCTTCTGAGATCAAAGGCTGAGAATTAATCCCAGCACCCCAAGGGTCATTTACATGGGTTTCTAGGAAGCTTCAGACTGATGATAGCAAAACACTAGCTGCTTTAATCTGTTCTCCCACAATGGACATGGATAGATTGCCGAGTCTGTTTAGGTGTATTATAAATGGAAGATACAGATCCTGAAAAGCATCTGAGGCTTACAGTGTGCTAATGTCCATCGCCAATGTCTTGTTTTGCCTTCTGAACCAGTAACAGCTCAGAGGATCTTTATTTTGTGCTGGTAGGAGCCCCGTGAGGGCATTAGAGCCTTCCCAGCAAAGAAGGAGGAGCCGGAAATCCTCCTGTTGCCAGTGTGCACAGTTTGCATTTTGTCCCCTGTCCCCACTTCCCTGGAGCCAAATGACTCCCGAGCCTTTGTGTGCAGTAGCCACCCTTGGGAGAAACAAAGTGCCTCTGTGCTGTATGAATACTGCTAAAACGAAGTCTGCAGCCTGGAGTGACCGAAATGCATGCATTGCATAGTGGAATGGTGTGCGTGGGCACTGTATCTCAAAGTAGTCCTGTTACTGTAATAAGGGACTTTTTTCAGCATGCCTAAAAAAGTAACTGCAGAGTGCTGGTACAGCCAAGGCTGTGTGCCCTCAGTTGATCACAAAAAGCTGTTCTCCTTCAAACAGGCATTGCTAAATTTTGTGCAACTGTAACTGGTGGAATATCACAACCCATGCTGCTTTTTTTGACTATTTGATTGAAGTGTAATGGTGGTAGATTGGCAGGTTTTCAGTTTTGTTATCTCTGCATGTTTCTGATTTTAATTTTCCTTTATTTAATGCATGTTTTTTCATTGCTATTTTTTCTGTCCTTTCTAGAGCTTTTTTTAAAACTGTTATTTTCCTCTTCCTATTTTTTTCTTGCTTCTCTTCCTTTCCCTCCCACTTCTTTTCTTTCTTATCTTAGACAAGGATCTCTAGCTAGAAAGGAAAAAGTCAGGATCATTCCATTTAACTCTGAAGATGGAGAAGAAGAACAGGAGAGTAACTATGAAGAGCTAGGAAAACTGCTAATAGAGGAATTCTTAGAAAAGAGT